CGGCACGTGAGAGGCGACACCAGGGTCGCATCGCAGCAGTGCGCTCCACCCAACGGTGCGACGCCGTAGATGACGAGCGGGGCGATGCGCAGTCGCCGCACAACGAGTCTTCGCTTCTTCATGGCTCGAGTTGCCTCCGGCCGGGGCCTGAGCTGCACCGCCCCTCGCGGAAGCGCCCTAAGAGGTTCCCCCCTGCCCTGTGGCGGATTGTGGCGGAGCAAGCCAGTAGCGGTTGCACTTAGGTTGCGCTGGGACCGGGAACTCCTCAACCTTTGCAGTCGTAAAAAGGCGCGAAGAAAAAATTACAACTCATGTCTTGGTACGTGGCTTCAAGGTTGCCAACTGTTGTGGCCCGCCCGGGGGCGGAGGCGAGGTGGATGCTTACGGCGACCATTCCTTGGCCTGCCCTCGCACCGGTCTATTGGCCCGCAGGGCAAAGATTGTGGAGCGCCCCAGCAGTGGCTAGCGGCTAGCGCACACAACCGCACCCAACGTCCGCTCCGACGACCGGCGCCGCCTGCACCTCGTCATCTACGGCGCGACGCCTCTTGGCAGGGGCTCTTTGCTGCGACGCGACGCTGGTTTCGCCGCTGTCGCGCACGGGCTTGCCTCAGCCTTGTGCAGCTGAGCATGACGGTGCAGCCCTGCGCGTCGCGGAGCGCCGCAAGGGAGCCGCCTACCCGGAGCTGAGCGCCGGCGTCCCGCAACAGCTCCAGCTCGTCGTGTTGGGGAGCGAGGTTGGGGGACGCTGGAATGCCGGTGCGCAGCAGCTGCTCCGGGATCTGGTCCGCGTCCGTGCCCAACGAGCGCCACCAGCCATGCGACGTGCTGCATCGACGGCATGGGCCAGGCGTTGGTGGGCCATGCTGGCAGTGTCGGTCCAACATGGTCCAACAGGCCGTCACAAGCACAGCGCTTGGGTCAGCTTGGCCCGCACCGCTCCACGCGAGCCAACCATCGGCCCCGTGCCTGGACCGACTGTTCGACCTCGCGGATGTGGCGGGGCCGAGCCGTCTGCCGCTTCGCGGCCAATAGGGATGAAGTGTCGTAGTGTAGACAGCTGCTCCGCGCACAAAGCATGCAGCAGGAACCCAAACCATGCAGGTGCAAAAGAGTCGATTCAAAAAAAAAAAAATCTCAAGCCGCCCCCTTTGTTTGCACATCCCCGTGCCAAAACTCGTTAGCTTGCGGCCGTAAGGTACGACCTTGGTTGTGCGCCTGTTGCACTGAGACTGCGTCATGGATGTTTAACGTGAACTCGATGCATCCTCAGCGGCCTTGTTTGAATCACGGGCGGGACCCTATTCGGCCCGAGTCTTGACGGTAAAGCCCAGCTACGAGACCAGCTTGCAACCGTCGTTGTTCCGAGCAATGCTTCCGCGGCGGCCTGCCGCCACAACCACATGATGCATGCAGTGACGACCTTGCGGCCCAGTCGTGTTGCGCTCGCATGGAAGTCCCTCGAGCGAGCTGCGGCGCGCGGGAGGCTGGGGCGACTGTTGCAGCTCATGTCCTGGTGCGTGACCTGAATGTTGTTCCCTTCCGGCAGGACGAGCGGCGCATTGAAGTCATTGCTAACGGCCTGCCCTTATGGGGCGGTGTGCAGCTCGTCGTCAACACAACCCTGGTGTCGCCCATGACGGCTGCTGGGATGCCACCCCGAGATAAAGGCTGGCAGCTTTGCAAGTCGCCGAGCACGCCAAGGCCCGGACTTACCCCGAACCCGCACAGGGCAAGTTGTGCTTGGTATTGAGGTTGGGGGGAGTGTTCCGCAGGCCGCTGAGTTCGTGAGACTGCTCGCCCGATCTCAGGCTCGCGTTGCGCCCGTTGTTGCCACAACACGAGCAGCAGTCACATTTGTGCTCGCCCTGTGGCTCGCTGTCGACACCACTGGTTCTCCCTGTCGAAGCAAAGCTGCGCCGGCATCATAGGGAGAGCTGTTGAGCCGCAGCGCGCCTCGCACGCGGCCTGAAAAACGCACCTGTCCCGCGTTGCGGCAACGACTTGTCATCTTCGACAAGCCTGCACGTTCGTTACCAGTAAGATGGTGGACGCTTGAGTCGCGAAAGGTCTGCCGCGGTCTGCCTCCTGTGTGCCAGTGCCCAAGTCGGTGTAGTGTCGGTGTCTTTGCGCAAGGCGCCATCTTGTAGGCTGTGTGGCAGCTCGGATGCTGAAACGGTTCGGCATCTCTTCTTTCAATGTGATGTGGCGATGCAGTTCTTTACACATGTGCCAGCATGGACAAAGGGTGCCACTCGCATGGCTGTGGGTAGCAGCTTGAGTGGGGCTCGGGAAGTCTTGCCCTGGCTGGAGGCGGCAGGGAAACGTTGCGACATGTGCAGAAGCGGGCTGCGGCTGCTCCGTAGAAAAAGAAGATTGTCTCCTGCCGCCGAGCTGGTCATGTTTCCTCTGATCATGTTCGGTGTGCAGTGATTCATGATGAAATCGTCATGCCTTTGGGTGCGCTGGTTACCAACAGTATACCATGTTGCAACGTGCTTGGAACCCAACTTTGGCAATGTTTGTTGAATGCTGAGCCCCTTTGGTGCTTCCATTCAGTGGTCTGAGCGTCAATTCTTCTCCTTATTGGTCCTAAAACCAAAACTGTGTCCGCTGTGTTGCCTTGTTTCCTGGGTTCTCTTGGTTTTGCTTTGCGTGTTTCTTTGTTAGGGGTGAATCACATATGCCATGGGTACGTTATGATGCCGTGTCGGAGCGCTCGGATGCTGAGTTCGGCATCTCCGCTTTCAATGTGATGTGACGTTGCAGTTCTTTGCACTTGTGCCAGGGACAGACCGTGCCACTGTGCTCGGTTGAAGATGTGTCCTGCCGCCGAGCTGGTCATGTTCGGTCTGATCATGTTCGGTGCGCAGTGATTCATGACCTGTTTCGCTATGCTTCTGGTTACGCCGTCTGGCGCAATAACCGTACCCGCCAAGCTTGCTTCTACTATTCGACAGGCTACATTCGTGTTCTTCCGGTGCAATTACCAGAGCCGCAGATCTTTCGCTTCAATTTGCAGCTCTGCTGGCTGCTGCTGCCCGTAACGTTGCATGTGAGTTTATTTTTTTTTTTATTCTTTCTTTTGTGTTTTTTTCTACACCGGAACAACTTGTGATGTCTGTTCTACAAGACTACGGTCCGTCCGCTCCTTTCCGGGCACGGCTGCCGCTAATCCTGGCTCGCCCATGGGTTACGCGGGCTGCTTGTGTTCCGGTCTGTGGCCGACTGCCGGGGACCTAAACAGGAAAGGTCTGTCTGGTGGCTTTGGTGGTCAGCATTATCTGATTCCATTGCCGTTCTTATCCAGAGACTTTCCTGAGCCTGTAGGCCTTCCGATCCGGTAGCGGTAGGCTAGGCCCCAGAGCTGAGATTGTGGGCCGATCACGAAGGAAAAAAAAAACTTCGCATTTTCACCGAACTCCAGCAAGGCGGTCGCGGACGTGGTCTTCGGAGTCGATGTGGGCGGGTACTTCGACAACCAAGTGCTTACGCCGCTCCGGCGACTCGCTCGCGCACGCAGTCCGTGGCCGTAGAGGGCCGCAGATGCCGTGCTCATGCGCCGATGGACTGTCATCCCGGCGCTCGCCAGCTTGCGAGCACACGCCCTGAGCTTGCTAGCGGGGTGCGAACCTGCGACGGCAGCGACGGGCTTGAGCCCAGGCTGTTGAGAGTTCCTGGCGGTGCCGCCGTGGCTGCCATGGGAGTTTCGGATATTCGAAACCTTCTGTAAGTTCGGCTTGGACCTTCGTCACGCATGCGGACATTGTCCGGGCAAGAAATATGGATGGCGTCACTGGTCTCCAACGGGGGCAGGCGGGGTTTCGCCGAAACAAATCAGGATGAGAACGTCGCTGAAAAAAAACTCCGTCAAATTTTGTTTCCGCTGAGTCCGCTGCAAGAAAATCGTGCGGCCCATTGTGATGGGGCAGGGCCCATGCCTAGGGATGCGGCTCGGGCCTGCTGGGCGCCAGTAACACATGGTCCAGGGCAGGCTCGTACCCCGGGATCCCCGGGGCGCCTCTCTCCCGTGGCACAGCCAACGAGCGGCACAGCCAACGTTGATGGAGAAACATCGTTCCTCAGCGACGGGCTGACTCTTCCGAACAGCTCTCCTTTTGCCAGCCTCATGCCTTCTTTGACTTTGAGCATATGCATTGGGACCGCGGCGTGGACGGTTCGTACAAGAGGTCTGGTTCACGTCCTTTCCGCGACGCTGCAAGGCCGCCACAATACCAATGCTAACTCAGAGGAAGAACGAGTTGCGGCACAGAAAGCGATAGCCACTTCGTCCCCGACCCTGATGACCAGCAGGCCCTCGGTTGCTGCCTTTGCTCTTGCACCGTTCCGTACGTCAATCCCCCAACCACGAGGTAGTTGTGCGCTGTCTGGCTTGCTTGCTCGAACACAATGCCGAGCTGCTGTCACGCATTGCCGTCCACATTTTGTGCAGCTCGCACTATGCCACGAAGAGACGTCCTGCTGACCTGATCTGCAAACATTCGCAAGCTCCGCGCCATTCGCGTCTACATGCCTCTACAGCTGCGGCTGTGGGGGCACGCCAGCACGTGTGCACACAAGGCTTCCTTGCGCCGACTTGGGGCGAGATCTCCACCTCCCAGGCTGCTCCGCTTCCTGTGCTCGGACACCGGCGAGCCAGGCAACACCAAATAGATTTTGAATGAACGTGACGCATGGAGTGTTGCAGACAAGCAAAACTGGCTTGGCATGCGGGTGAGCTCCAGATGCCAGTCCCATGCACGTCCCATTCCATGCAAATCCTCGATTACGCCTCCTGCAAGTGCGGGGCATGGCGAGACGACCTGATATCGCTATTCGTGGACGCTAAGAGAATCGCACGAATCACATCAATCACAGGTAGTGAAAAAATACAGCTGAGTTTTTGCAGCTCCGACAGAATTCCGAACCAGGAAGTACATCATAACACCGGAGACCACCAATGCAGTGCTGTTGATGATTTGCAGGATGCCGGCTGGCCGATGCAGACCTCGAAGGTCAAATCCAATAACTTCCTCTGTGCTCCCCGCACATCGTTCAACTACACCGTGGAGGAGGCTCGGTGGTCGGGAAGAGTCACCGTAGTTCGGACGGATCCATGTTGGAACTTGAATGCAGGCCGCACACCATGCACAGCATGCAAATGAAGACGCGCTCGCCATGAAGAAAGCTCTCGCAAAGGTCGCACCGGGTTGTGGCAATACTTTGCAAACCTGTCTACATGTAGTGCGATGATCCTTCTTGTGCAGGACCATTCGATGACGGCCCAAGAGGCCCGATTCTTTTCGATGTTGTCAACTCCTTTGACGTTCCTGTGGCTCGGTATGAACAGGATGGTGGGACTTCGGTAAGAGTGTTTAACGGTTGCCGTGTACAGGACGGCTGCATGTGATGCGCGACGAATTCAGCAAAGGACCAGCACTTTTGCCATTACCGCGGCCTATTTGGAGGTGCAGAATGGTTGGATGTTGGCGCAGCCCCCTGCTTCACAAGATGTATGAAGATCATTCACCAGCAGCACATGTATACTAGGAGCATCTAGGAGCATCACCAAAAAAACCACCAACGGCAGTTCGTTTCAGAATCCATCTCCACATCAATAGCACCAGCACCATCAGTGCCCTTGACAGCAGCAATGATTGAAATCAAACCGGTGCAACAGCAAGAATAGAAGCGCCAAGATGCTTCAAGAGTAAGATAACATCGAAGCGGTTACCAGTTCATGAACGGTTGGCAACATGCCAGCATGTTATGTTTGAAAACTTACCAGGTGCAACCTTAGTCGCACAAGTCAGCGCCGTGTTGAGATTTTCAGATTTTGGTGATAAAGGCTAGACGCGACAGCACTGATTTATTCGACGTTGGTCCGTAGCATGGCAGGTTGAGTTGGTTCTTTTCCGCAGTCGGCTGGGCTTTGTCCAACTGAGGAAAGCCAAGATGCTCAAAGAAGACCCTTGTCGAAATTTCAATCTGCACGGTTAATGGCTTCTACAGTCCAGCATCCTGTTCGTTGGCCCATGTTCTTCCGGCCAACTCGAGGACATCGCCCACGGAGCTCCGCGCGAGCACTGAGCTCCCAAATGCACGCTGGCACATGAACCGTGCCCCATTCCGCGTAGCATCGTCGTAATGCTCCGTTATTTTCAGTCCCTGAAAGCAGCCATTTTTCATTGTATTGACTGTAACAGCATCACGACCTGGAAGTGTGGTGTCGGTTCCAAAGCTGCTTGTAACCGGCATTTGCGCAGCTGACCTTGTCCCGTAGAGGAAGTCTCGGAACCGGTCCATCAGCGGCAAAGAAAATGACGTAGCGTGCTTCAGGCTTGGCATATCACCCAGCAGGCATCTAGGGCCAGGGCATTGGGCTGGATTGCCAGGCAGAAGTTGACCTTACCTGTGTGAACCTCCTGGGCCAATTGCTCGCTCAAGCCTGTGGCGCGGACACCATGGAATGAGATGCGGAAGGCGCAGTCTTTCGTAGTTTCCGAGCGTGGTGTCGACGAGTGTGCATGCAGGCGGCATCTCGCCGCACCCCTGCTTTTCGCAGTTGCAGCCGGGCACCATGTTTTGGATCACGATCGTAAATGCTTGTTTCCTACCCTCCGGCTTGCTAGTTGGAAATCGTTGATTGCGGGCACCGATAGACTGCCCGAGCCGCACGAGGAGACAAAGCTGTGAAGCATGTGTTTGGGTTCGCCGCGCCCATGTTTGCGATTGTTGTCCGCTGGAAGTTTCCCCCAGCTTAACCTGAAAGGCGAGCCATGCTGTATTGAAATTCGATTAGCCGAGGTGGCTGCGAATTGCCCAGCTTCTGAAGTATCTGCTGTTGTTGGGGGTCTCACCGTCATGCACTCAGACCGTTGTCCGTGGACGTATAAGAGAGCAATAAGCAGGCTGCAGCGTGTTTTTCGTTTGCTGGCGTCTGTTGGGTGCATCTGGCAGGAGCTCTTGCGCTTGTCATGTAAGCAGCAGTAACTAGCCAAGGGTGCAGGCACGCCGTGCCTTTACCAATCTTCGAACTAGACGAACCAGGCTAAAGCTCCAAACCGTGCATTAGCCGCTAGCCTGGTATACTCGAGGCATCCTTAGGAAAGTACAGTGCTGCAACTTGTTTAAGGCCCCGTAGGCTGCGACGTGCCCAGGTACGTCTCGCAGTGCCTGCTCTGTTGGAAGGAGACAGCTTTCAGAGGCCGTGAGCATGTAAACGTTAAACCTGCTTCGCATGGGTTGCAATGCTCCCCCACTTCGTTCAAGCCGACAGAGGTGCAAAACATTAAAGAATGTGACGTCATTACTGCCGATAGGTGCCGGTGCCATAGTTTCTTAGGGTAAATCGGTCAGAATCCCGGAACCCGACTCTGCAACTGCCACCTTCACTTGCAGACAGCACTGGCTTTAGGAGGGTGTCGTGTGTCACCTGCTGCATGGCCGTTCTACAGCTAGTGTTTTTGCTGAACGCGCAAGTGCTGTGCAAAGCTGCTGACTTCCGCGCAGGCTCAATAGAGTCATCAGATCAAACGTCATGTTTGGGTTCCGGACAGTCTAGTTTGCCCCCCAACACACAAAAATCCTATCCAAAAGCTTACCAGCCAGGTCCTGTGAATCACTCCGGGCAGGATTTGATGCTGTACTGCACACTTGGTCAGTTGTATGGCTTTTTTGCAGCAGCTGCTTCGAACGTTGACATGATCATGTAGCCACAACCGTGCCAGTCATTTGAGCATCACTGTATCTATATATCAGTAGGAGTCAGTGGCATGAAAAGCCCAATGATTTTGGGCACCTTTCGCAAAACCAGGCTTTGATGGCGTAGTTTGTGTGTCGGGTGTATGCGTGTGCGCTCAGTTCGAGGGAGCTTCGGGAGATTCGGCGAGTCTTTTCGTGCTTGGCGACCCCAATCGGCATGTCGATATGTCAACGGAATCAACGTGACTGGTGCATGCTTCATCCATGCCTCTGCGGAGACATTGATGCGTAAGGAAGGCTTCATCCGTGTCTCCTGCTTCGGCTTGCAGCCGGTGCCAACGATCCGGTGCCAGGCCGCTCGTCAACTAGGAAAGCTATCTCTGGGCGAAGGAATTGAAAGGTGCGTCAGCAGTCAGGAGTACTTTTTGTGCGGGTCTGGGACTGGCACTGCTGATCACTGACTGACTGGCTGAAAGGAGGACGGGGGTTGAGGAACTTGAGGGTAGTTTGGTGAGCAATTCGAAAGCTCATTTGCTGGAGCAGACAGCACGACCGAGCATGGATGAAGCGGCCAGCCAACTGTTGTACTGCAGCCTCAGCGATCGGCGGAGGCGAAGGGGTGCCCGGCGGGTCAGCGCGCCCCTGCCAGGCAGGGAGGGTTTGCGCTTGGGCACAAGGCGCACGTGGGCAACGTCTTGGTCCGGAACGGCCAGGATCGGTGACAGCGCCGAACTCCTTCCAGCTGCGATAGCAAAAGGCACGACCGCCTGCTGCCCAACATGAGTTCTATAGATGAATTCTGTGTTCGTTCACGCAAGGAAGGTCCCCTCATGGTGCAGAGGGGAAATGTCAAAATCCAAAAAGACTGGTCAGGACTTGCCCATGGCAAGGAAGACTTCCTTCCCTGCAGGCAGGAATGGGGCTTGAGTGCGCAGCGCTCGAGCTCCAGGTTTGGCCTGTGGGAAATTCGGAAACTCGCTGTTGGCACTGAGCCTTCGCATCCGTTGCGCGGCAGACTGCTGCATCTACTGGGCCCAACCGTTTGACCGTAGTCATGTGGCGAGAGTGTTCGTGTTTGAAGAGTCTCGGTCCTCGGGACGGTCAGGGCGCTGAAGGAAGGGCTCGAGGGCTACATCCATTTGAGGCCAGTCGGATGTCGGTGATAAGCATGCAACGCATGGTTTACTGCGTTTCTCACGTGCTCGAGTGTGCTTGGGCATGGCAGGACACTCCTGTGATATTGTTGTTACTGCCATACTAAGATTCTGAGCCGTCACTTTCTGCCAGCACAGCGCCCCATGACGACTGTTCGGTTGCAACAAGCCTCGGGTGTTTGCCCAACTTGCACCCTTCATCTACCGTGAATCTTATATGGCTGGCAGATGTTCGCTTGGAGTTCTCAGTGCCGACGCTGCAAGCTGCCGTTCCACGCCACAAGGTGCAGCTGCTGAAGGTTGGAATGTTGTCAGGCAGGCTGCAGCTGCAGCAGGAAAAGGTACTCCAACGGTTTCTGTTATCCTTCAGTGCTCCCTGGTTTCGATGTGCAAGCTACTGGATTGCAGGTGCGCGGACCGCTTATCGCTTGCTGAACGCAGACTTCCTTCCAGGCAGCCCGTTGAACGAGTGCATGGTTCAAATCTTTCGAGAAAGCCACAGTGGCAGGAACCTGGAGAGTGTTCGAAGCTGATTTCTACGACAACGCAGATTGCCAAGGAGGCCGGGAAAGGACGGCTGTAACCGAGTCGCAAGGGTTGCTGTTCAGCCTGGCATGTCATTAGCGCTTATGCTCCGTATTCCGTCTGGTGCTCCTTTCAGGCATATTCTGACACCAATCATCTGCATATTCGTTTGTGGGTGTCACCTGTGCAGCGCTTGTGAGTCGAAGGACTCTGAGGGGAGGTTTCGTCATGCTGAACATCGGGAGGGCTTTGCCTGCTGCGCGGCATGCTCGGCTCGAGTCGGTGTGATGGGCTCAACTCCCGAAGTCGCTTGTGAATGTATGGATGCCAAAACCCCTACGTGAAATCTGCCCTTGGGCCGGAGTGGGCTTTGGGATCCAACATCTCTGGTGACGTGGTGCTTCCACGGCCAGTTTCCCATACTATTTTCAGAGGCTGTCGGCAGGGAGCAGTAGACGGTTGAAGAGTTTAGGTGTTCGCTCGTCAGACCGTACCAGAAAGTTGAGGAAGGTTCAAGATCCAAGCCCTCGTCCTGGCGGGTCTCACCGATTTGAAAAGTATTTGCTGAGCTTGCACTGGAGCTTCGCAACCCGCAGTGAGGCTATTCAGATTCCGGTTTTCAACTAGCTGTGCATTCTCGGAGTTCCGCGAACACGTTGCCCGTTTGCCAGGCCGCTGGACGGGTGAGCTTTACGGGTCCTCCGAGGAGGCAGAGTCTGGACGAACAGCTGTCTGGTTGCAGGGAGCCGCCCAGTAGCCTCTTCGGAGCGTTTCAGCTGTGTTTCGCCAAGCCGAGGTTGCTTTGGCTTTCGATGGAAATCGTACATCGCCCCCTTGTAGCACTTAGTGCAGAAGCTTGCCTTGCAAGTTTGCCCCTGCAGCTACTGGCACGTTGCAGGATCGATTGCAGCTCACTCAAGCTCTCCCCCGTGTCCTCTCATAAAACATCGGGTCTCAACAGGTGCTCACACCAACCGTGCAGAAGCAACAACATGCAGCACAAGCAACAGCAAACGCCCTGCCAAGCTTTGCAAGTATTTCTGTCAACTTCGTAGCTGGGCCTTCCATTCGTGCAATGGCGCTGGCAAAGCGGCTGATCTCCGATGTGTTGGGTCGCGGTGGCATCGCCAGCAGTGTCTTGGATGGGGAGGCAGACCTTGTGATCATTGGGCCATTGTCTGCGAACGTTTGTCCCATTTCATTCAGACTTTTGGCATCAAGCGGCTGCTTGCCATGCAGGCGTACTTGTTCGGTGGTCACGACGGCGAGATGCCGTTTCTTGGCCCGGGAGTCCCTGCCGCCCCTGCCTGCATCCTGTACATTCCTATTTTTGGTTTCGGGATCGTCACGGCTGCGGTCGCAGCTTGTGCTAGGTTCTGGGCTTCAGCTGAGTCCGCAGTCGGGATTCGCTTCCCTGCTCCTGCAAGCCTTCGCGAGGCTGAAAGTCGTGGAGTCTTTCCGTCCCTCCGAGAACCCCGAAGATCCCGAAGACCGGGGTGAGTGGAAGGCACCGGGTTGGAGACAAAAATTCCCACGGGGAGATGGCCGAAAGGGGGGGGGGGGCGTTCCACAAGGAGCTGCCGCCGATGCTGGCCAGACGGACCTATGCTTCTGCGTCGGAGCTCGATGGGAAAATCTACGTGATGGGAGGCCAACCATGGCCAGCTCCCTGCTTTGTCGGACTGAACGCCGACGCAGGCAGTGCCGACGGGCGTACGCTGAACACCTTCGAGGTCTTCGAGCCCAAGGCCGGGGGCGGGCTCTGAAGGTTTGGTACCGTGGGAATTGTGCCTGTGCTGTCCCAGGCCGGACAGTGGGATCAGTGGTTCACAAAGCCGCCGATGAACATCAAGAGCCTTGACTGCCAGTGAGGCGTGATATGTCGTGATCATGATGCATCAACAGCTTTTGCATGCTCCACGTTGCCACATTGATTGTGTTGCGCCTGGACATGGCTGAGGCGGACCATGCATGCTGCCGCAGTGGCAGATGGCCGCATCTATGTGGCTGGGGGCTTCGATGGCATACGGGACCTATCCGCGGCGGAGATCTACGATCCCAGGCTGGGATCTGACCGGCCAGAGCCAGAGCCAGGGCTCAGAGTTTGACTCGGGGTTCACGTAAATTGAAGTTGATGTGGTCCTCGCTGCGACCGCTGTCCTGCATGCTCCTGGCATGTCAAGACTGCTCTGGCAGGAGCAACAGCTGGAGCTCACACATAGATCCTATGAACGTGCCCCGATCGTATCACTGCATGGTGGCTGTACTGCAGTGAGACAGGCTTTCTAGTGCAAGTCTGGTGAGGCCAGGGCAGCTCAGCATGATGTGTCGTGTTGAAACGCCTCAGGTGGCTGTCCAGAATTGCATCTATGCTATCGGAGGTGCGCGGATAGTGGTTGTTGCTCTGGAACACGAACTGGGAAGCAAGCCTGCACCAGCATGATGCAGCGACAGTTGTGATTGGGGGTTGAAGGGGCAGGTATAGCTGCAGAGCCCTGGTTCAACTAGTGGCAACAAAGGCAGGAGTTCGGATGTCCATAGCTTAACAGCGTTTCCACCTTCCTCACCAGTTTATAGTTTAACCTTTTAACCACTTGGTGCTTCGAAGGCCCTTCCGTGTGCACCTGAATGAATTGATGCGTGGTGCGCGGGCTTTCAGCTCATCCAGCGGCAATCGACTCTACAGGATGTCTTCCTGAATCTTCCTGTGAAGGTCAGCAGCGGCAAGTGAAGGTGGACCGGCCTCGCGCGCACAGCTCTGTGGAGGCTCCGGGCTCCGCGGGCTCCGGGGTGGGGCAGGACCAGGGGTTGCCATCGACTGCGAGCCCAAGCTACGGGTAGCACATCGAGACCCCGTGACGACTTCATTCGGCCTTCCGAGGCCTTCGAGCTCTACTGTGAGAGGCGCGCCCGTCATGTTGCCTTGCCTTTGTTGTGGGATCTCCAGCTGGCACTGCCCCAGCCTTGCTAGCTCGGGGATCAGTCGCTAACCTTCAGAGTGCTCTTTCACCGAAAGGTGGCTTGAGGCTCCTCCGATGTCCACGGGCCGCATCGGGGCAGGAGCTTGCCTGATGCAGGCCGGGCATTTTCCAGGGATTCAGGGCTTTTGCTTTGTTTTGGCGCCAAGACGATCGGACTCTGTGCGAATGGCGAGTGGTACTCCCGCAGCGAAGTGGCTGGATGGGCATTTCTGACAGTTTGGGCAGATTTCGAAATGTGCGTGCAGGATGAGAATGGCGAAAACTTCATCTATGTGGCCGGGCATCTGTTTGGAGACGGTTTAAGGTTTAAGGTGTACTTCAGTTGGCTGCTAGTTTGGGCTACCGTGTGAGTCATATTTTGCTAGCCTACTCTTCTTCAGCCAGATGTGTTGTGAGTGTTGTTGGCTGATGTAGAGCATGGACTGCAGTACCTACTCCGGCATAGCTACAGAACCCACTCCAAGAAAAGGCAGCGTCGTCCCAGCCCAACTGGGATTTCGTTGTCGAAGCATATACTTGTGAAGTTTATTGAGTTCAACAGTGGCAAAGGTCACCGGTGGCTCTGATGGCGATGCTGTGCTGCAATCCGGGGAGGCGATGCTTTTACCGCGGAAGCCACCTGTGAAACGAATCAGCTTGCAGGAGAGACTGCAGACATGAAGCAGCTCATATCAGCTCTGTCTTCCAAGTGCGAACTGCGTCGGACCACCGTGCAGGTTTTTGATGTCAAGCGGCAAACCTGGCAGGTGCAGCTGAGTCAGCACATTTTTTCCGACAGTGGTCTGTTGCTTTCCGAGTTTGTTCGTGTCAGGAGCTTCCGCCCATGGCGTTCCCGCGAATAGCGCACACATCTTTCGTGCTCAATGGAAAGGTTTATGTCGCAGGGGGCATCGATGGCAAGGCAGGACCGACAGCTGATAGCTGCTTTTCAACCATAACACACCGAAGTGCTTCACCAGGTGCCCCTGGAAACCTTTGAGTGCTTCGACCCCTCCACGAAGACATGGAGTGCACCCATGCGATTAGGCCAGTTGCTTCCATGGACTGCTGCAGAAGTGCCATAGATCGAAGTGCAGTGTGGGAATCTGTTGGAATATGCTTTGTGTAATCTCCTGCTGTGTTTCAGGTTCTTGAACGTAGTTGGACGCTTCAGAGGGGCACATGTTCCGTCGAAGAGCCAACCCATCCTGATCGATTTGTTGCATGGAAGGTGCGTTGTGAGTTTCTGGGTTGCCAATGTGGGCCCGGTAGGTCTCAATGTCAAGAGTTGGACTGCCTCCGGAGCAGCAGTTTCACCAGAAAATGTAGAGCCCGAAGTCCCGAAGTAGATCGTAAAGGTTTGTGAAGACTTTGGGAATGGTCTGATGCACACCGGGCACCAATGGTGTGTCCGAAGTTTGCATCACGAGGGTGGGACAAGGGCACAACAAGAGGCAACTTCTGAATTGACACTTTGAGCACGAAGAGCGTGCTCGCGATTGGCTCGAAGGCGCTGGTGCAGAGAGGCCGGTGTCTTGTGAAAAAGCTAAATTACTCATGGTGTTGAAGCTACGACATCGCGCTTCTGCACGTTTCGCCGCGTGTGCCTCAGCAGTCGCAAAAGGCCGTCCATGATGACACTGGTGCTAGACATGTCTCCAGAGACGCTCGGGTGTTCTTCTCATGTGTACATGGTGACTAGGCCTCTCCTGCTGCATGTCGTTTTGCCTGCTTTGTTTCGTTCCATGAGCCCTAATAATGTCGGTAGCTGCGGCCTTCTTGGAGTGAATTCCTGCTGCTTGCAGCGAAGGTATTGGAGTTCATGGTGTCCGCGGGGCTGTGCACCGAACACCGCAACCCGTGCAGCAAGTTGCACTTTGCAATTCCCGCTCTGGGTTTGTATTAATGCATGAGTGAGTGCATCTATGCATGTATGTATTCATTCATGCATGCATGTGTGTATGTTTGTGTGTGTGTGTGTGTCTGTATCTCCAAACACAGCAGGCAGACATTGCATACTCTTTTGTATGGTGCCACTGGATCCGGTAGCTTCTGGCTCTCTTGGAGGAACAGCCATCCAGACTCATTCATTTGCTCGGCGGATACTTGATTTCAATCTGGGCAGCCCCAGGTGTTGATACTCTGATACTCCTTTACCGAATGTCAGCACCAACAGCAACAAACTGTTGCTCCATGGCTGAAGCTTGGCCAAGTCTACGTGTTCCGCACCTCGAACCTGACGCATGGCCTCCTTGCGCCTGTCTGCACGGCGCTCGGCCCTGCTGTGCTGTGCCCCGGAAAAGAACAGATGTCGAGACTCGCTGCCGTCGGCATACTTTCTCGATGTCGAAGGTCGTAGGATGCAGGAGTGAGGGAATTTTGAACCCTTTTTTTGGCGCGTTGCTGGGCTACGGCGGGTGCTGGAGGTTGTCAGGTGGACGGAGAGTGAATAGGTTGCTGACTGACGACATACACGTTGCGGCCATGTCGCAGCCACTTCACAACGAGCCTGCGGCATGTCATATCTAGGCGATGTTACATCCCGGATCCAAGTTGGAACATGCTTTCTCCGACTGAGCGGCGTCCCGAGCGCCCAAGCCCGTGCAGCCGTCGCGGGCACTGCTCAGGCTGCTGTGGCCTCGCTCAACTACCTCTTGCGGTGCTTGCGCTGTGGCCGCTCCCAGGCCAAGTCGCTGAACCTGTTCCTCTAGTACCACTGCGTAGCCGGCCTATCGCCCCTGCCGCTATTGTCGTCGTAGTCGTAGTCGTCGTCGTAGTCGTCGTCGTAGTCGTCGTCGTAGTAGTAGAAGTTGTAGTAGTAGAAGTTGTAGTAGTAGAAGTTGTAGTAGTAGCAGTAGTAGTAGCAGTAGCAGTAGCAGTAGCAGTAGTAGCAGTAGTAGCAGTAGTAGCAGTAGTAGTAGTAGTAGTAGTAGTAGCCCTAGTAGTAGCAGTAGTAGTAGTAGTGGTAGTAGTAGCAACAGCAGTAGTGCTAGTTGTAGTAGCGTAGCGGCAGCAGCAGTAGTGGGAGGAGGAGGAGGAGAAGGAGGAGGGGGAGGAGCTAGTCCAAAGTCTCGCGCGACGGTTGTTATCGTGGTGGTGGCATCTTCGTGAGTGCTACTACTGCGAACTCGTTCGCGTGACTTGTTGTTTGCATGTAGCCATGCGACCCATGAACAGCGTCAGTTCAAGTAATGGAACACATGACATGGCTGGAGTGTTGCTTGTACTGCTCACAGAAATCACTTCGCTTCCAGAGCATTCTCTGGGGTGTCGAGTGTCGAGGTTCATTCACGGGGGCTTTGGTTGTGTTCGGGGAAACATGCAGCGGGAATGTAGTGCTGCAGTGGTCGACACATGCGTGCAGCCCAGGCAGCCTTGTCACCCGTTGTGATCCCGTTGTGTCTGAGTATTGTGGCGAAAATCAAGGCTTCAGCAAGAATACGGTCCGTCGAGGCCCCGAGTATCGGCGATCCTCCTGGGCCTTCCGGGTCCTTGGCCTGGCCCTTCTCGGACCTCGGGGAACATGGATGCCAAGTAGGGAGAGACGTCGTTGTCCAAAGATCAGTCCAGCCCGTGAGCTCTAAGAGCCAGCACAAGTGTCTGCACTGATATACAATGAAGTATCGCCGGCGGCTCGGTCATACTGGAGGGGGTTGGATCACTACCAATGAAGCCGACAGTAGAGATCATAGCGGAAAAGTTGCGAACTTTCCTGCTTCTTGGACCCTAAATCCTTGAGCTAGTCAAGACTTCTTGAGGTATCGGGCAATTGCAGGGTGTATGTGTGCCTCGCTCGGCATCGGAGGTTTTCGTCTTTCACTGTATGTGCCTCTAGACTTTAGGGTTTCTTAAGAGATCCATGGAAATCACTGTCGGATCTATATTGGGCTTCCGAAGCTGCCTGTTATGGAGAGTCTAAAGGGTCCCGGACTGCGAGAAGAGTTGACTCACAATGCCGTGTCAGGACTGTCGTGCTGCGACTTGCCTGCGGTTTGCTTTTTGAATGCTGTAGCGCGACGGTCCCAATGACGTTTCGGGCCTGGGAGTCCCCGCTTAAAGTTAAAGGCCGAGCACGAGTACAGGAGCAGAGGTAGGTAGCCACCTCACCGGCAGGAGTAGCCAGTTCAAAAATTTTCAGGTTTTGACGTTGACCTGTTGTGGATCCAAAATTCCGCTCAGGTCTTTCCAGTCCGTTGGTTTGGAATTTGGCCTGAAGCCAGTATCCAAAGAATCAGCAGTTTTCAGCCCAGGTGCCTATCCGGCTTGCGCACTCGCATGCCGTGTCGTAGCCGACAGCAAGGAGGATGCAGAGCTATCTCGGATCACTGTACTACAGGGGTAGCTTCCAACCTTTCCCCTTCCATGGCCGTAACTTTAAGTTCTTTTCCTGTTGACCATTTTCGCAGCGGTTCAATTTGAGCATGTTTTGTAGCTTGGAATCAGATGCTCGGGGTCTTTGCTTCTGTTTGTTGTCTGTCGACTGCCGCTGCACTTCAGAGGGCGTCCAGTCTCTAACGAGGTGGGTTTAGACAGGGAGCGGGGAGGCTGAGTCCCCGCTTTGCTACGGCTTTGAATCGTGAAAACCGTGCTGCCGACGTGTGGCTTTGGGCTCGAAGGCGCTGGTGCCCTCCAGCATGAAGGCTTAGGGGCACTGGTCGGCCTGTTTCAACAGGAACGGCAGCCATGGGGTGCCAGCACTCGGCGAGCAAGCGCGACGAGGAGCTTGGCACCACGAGCCATGACACCTACGTCACCCACCACAGCCAGCAAAGTCGCAACAGCCGCAACAGCTATTGCAGCGTCACCTCCCTGACGGGGCCACCGATGCTGTCGCCGAAGAGCGGTGCGCCCATCCAGGGGAGAAGTCTTGAGTCAGGGATTTCTTAGAATCCAAAGGTCTTCAATATGATGTGCAGGAACTGCAAACCTCAGTGATTGATATGTTGCAGGGGGAAAGAGGGCACCAAGGGTGATGCTGGACGTGACTGCGTGACTACACATGCTGTGTCTCATGTTTGTACATGTCTTCGGGGTCTCTTTGAAGGAGCTTGGATTGTTTGCAGTCTTGTCTGCTATGCTCCCACATGAGAGGCGGAGCGCAGCAGCAGCTTCTGGCAACCCCGACACCGCAGAAGAGCCCGCGCTCGATGGTGACTCGCATGGCCGCCCGCATTCGATATTAATGGAGGACGGGCCATGTTCCATTTCGCTCTCAACCGGAGTCCCTGCACCGAAGCATGGGTCATTCGTTCTGCAAGTTCTGTGCTCTTGTCTTCGCATGCCCTTCTCTATCACCAGATCATGCCGCCAGTTTTCAGTTCAATTCTTGAGCCACCTATGAGCGTCGCAATGGTTTCAGGGGTTCTCGAAAAGACCCTTTTGTTTTCAATATCCACCTTTGTGGTCTTACCACGCCGAGTGATTTTGGAGTCGTAGGAGTTTTGGCGAGCTGTGAGCCATTCGGCCCACTTGCTAAAGAAGTTTGGGAGACAAAAGCCAGAACTGCTGGCGACAGAATTCTGTAAGTCAATGGCGCTTCCAAGGTTACCTTATCCTCCGGCTGGTCGAGTCAGTCCCGGCCGCAGCAGGCACCATGGCTTTCCCTTTTGGCATCTTTTGGCTTCAATGCATCACAACCCATCCCGGCAAAGCGCCTTGGGCGGACGTTTAAGGGGATGTGTTGTGATGTGCAATCAGTCTGGTTGTAGTGGTGCTTCTGTGCTAGAGCTCCGCTCGCTACGATGCCTCGTCCCGATGGTCCCAGCTGTGAGACTCGAACACAACTTTGAACCGCAGCCCTTTGATCCTCCATTTTCGGAAGTCTGCCAGGTGGTGGTGCTTTCTTGTGCTCAATTCTCACACTTTCGCTTGGGAGCAGACCGCATGCTTCGCTTCGGTGCCCTACTACCGCCTGTTAGATGATTGAAAACAGTCCAGCTCCGACCAACCTTTTGACAACATTTGCTTAGTACACCGGGCAGTCTGAGTCCAACCAGGAGCAAGACCACCCAAACGTGCAGAAGCTCACCTTTCTGTCGGTTTTTTTGGTTTTAGAGTTCGTCATTGAATCTCTCCGCCTGCTAGACGCCTTTGTCCTCTGGTCTCTCCGGGGCTGCTAGCCTTCGGCAGGCCTGGGCTGGGGAGCGGGCAGGGTGGGCCTGTCACGTAGGCAGAGTGCTTTCTCAAGAGAGAGCAGTAGAATACAAGCAATACTCTGCTTCGTCGGGCTAGTGTCAAACCCTTGTCACTGGCTGCCGCTTCATGGCATGCATTCTTCTGATGTTGATTTATACCGTAGAGCTCACGTGATTCTAGGGACTGTCTCCACAGGAAGAATTTCTTTCAAGTAGCAGGATCGCGACGGGCGGTCGGTTCAGGGTTTGGGAGAAGTTACAGCTGTGACAGCGTCCGTTGGCAGGGTTGCCTGCGATCGCACTTTCTCTCGGAGCCCTGTCTGCATCCACACACCACGACTTCGCAGCTGTCTCCATCCGTAGATTGTCGGTTTTGCGCTCGGGGGCCCAAGCTTTGCCCCTTGAGGAGGCTTTGGCAGTTGTTCACGGAGCTGAGGGGGAGGGAGTGCCATAGTGAAAACAAGGAAGACTACAACGACGGCATCGACATGAACACTGCGGAGACGCAGTACAACCTCGAGGTGGGCCGCTTGGGGCTGAAGTCGTTCGGAATCGGTTAGCCAGAAGGGTATTCTGATTTCAGCAGGAATGGGAGAGTGAGGAGGATGTGGAGTTTGGCAGATGCCGGGAGTATTTGCTGCTAACTCATGCAAGACGAACACTTCTTCTATCCTTGCATACACCACATGTTGGACTGCCCAAGCGCAAGAAGAAGCGTT